CGTAAGTATCTAAGGAAATACTTGTGTAACATAACTGTGCATAATAGGGATGTATCCATGTCAATTCGAATTAATCCTGCCAAAGTTCAGCCCTGATTTCTGATGTGTCAGCAGGGAAGCCTGGGGCCTCGTCTATATTGATCACTAATACCTCTTGCCAGCAGGTGGAATATACAGTTTGTTAAAAGTCAATCTTCCATAGTCATTGTAACCTTAGCAATGCTTTTTTTATAAATTTTTTCTCAGAATCTACTGTTCAGAACTACAGCCGTGTGACGTATCCCATATGTATAGATAAATAAATGCCAAGCTGTACATTTATGTTAGGTTCTGCTTTTCTTTCCTTTAACGCACAAGGTTCTCTTTGCTTATGCTATTCAGGGGGCCCTAAATGCATATGCTACTTGTGTCAGAATAATTTTATTCATCCAAGAATGTATTCAGCAGCCAATACATATTTTTTTTTTAGAAAGCAGGGTCAAACAGGCCTTGGAGCTGTTGCTGATTAAGGGCCTTCCTGCAAAGGTGAAGCCACACACTGAATAAATAACATCAGTCTTGAAAATTGTCTTGTGCTTCTTAATGCTGCCAATCTAGCATAAGTAATACTTGGAGCACATTAAGGTCAAATGCATCTGGCCCCCCTAACAGAACAATTGGCCCCAGTCTGTCTCCCCTCCCCTCAGCTAAAATGGTCTAGAACCTCCACTGGTGCTATTATATGTTAATGACCTTTGATTACAAAGGTAAAAAATGCTGACTTCGGGATTTGTGCTGACAATCTTCCGATCACAGGAATGACGTTCCAGCCATACTACTCTACTCCCCTTTACACCTAAGGCCATCGCTTTAAGGAAATCTCTGCTTATATACAATCACTCAACCGACGCAGTTCTAAGTCATGGAGTGCCTTAGACCAAGAGGATACTCCTTCAAACCTGCTCATCCAGTGCAGGGCGACAGTGAGCTTGAAGCCTAACCCAGACAGCATGGGGCATGAGGCAGGGACACTGTAGACAGAGTGCCAGTGCATCACAGGGCACATGCTCACTCACCAAGGGCAATTCAGAGAAGTCAGTTCCCATAAACTGCCTCTGTCCCGTGTGTTTGCATGTTTTCCCAGTGTTGAGCATGTTTTTTTTTCCCTCAGCTCTTTCTTTCTGCATTTAGGCTAATTAATGCCCCTTAAATTGCCCACAGGTTTGACAGTGTGTCTATGAGTATGTGCCCTGTGATGGACTGGCATCCTGTCCAGGGTGAACCCCTGCCTTTATGCCCCATGCTGCCTAGGATAAACTCTAGGCCGCCCCGAGTCTCTGACAGTCATGGGGAGAACTCACATGGTCAGAGGCTGGAGTCCAACCCCCCTGGAGGTGATCCTGAAGGTGCAATGCCTGGCTATATGGTGCCCATAAGCTCTAATACAATGTCCATCCTTCGTCCAACAGCTTATGTGTTAAGGTTCAGCTGCTACAATATAATAATTTCATTTGAAGAGAAAAAGTACTGTGAATTTTTAGCTTTGGTGGCACGGGGGTGCAGTGGTTAGGGGTGTCACCTCACATCTCTGGAACCCAGGGGTCATTTCCCTGCCCCAGTGCAGTGTCTGTGGTTCTTCCATGTTCTTCCTGTTGGGTGCTCCCTGTTTTCCTTCAATTTCCAATCACAGACGCTCCCCGGGCTACGATGGGGTTACGTTGCAATCAACCTATCATAAGGTGAAAATATCGCACGGCGAAAATGCATTTCAATACAGTAGATCTAACCTATCAGACATCATAGCCTAGCCTAGCCTACCTTAAACATGCTTAGAACACTTACATTAGCCTACAGTTGGGCAAAATCATTAAAACAAAGCCCATTTTGTAATAAAGTGTTGAATATCTCATGCAATTTATTGAATAATAATACCCATCGTCAAGTCGAAATATCGTAACACGGACCATCGCATCCCAGGGAACATCGGTACATGCTAAGGTCAGCTGGAGTTGCCAAATTGTCTCTAAGTGTGAATGGTGTTGGTGCCCCAACCTGGGTTATAATCCCGCCTCGTTTCCAGAACAGGCTCTGAAAAAAGAGCAAGTATAAAGGGTGATGAGTTGATAATCTTTTTGTGCTGGGAGTCATTTTTGTATTGCTGCTGGACAGCAAAAATTCTACTTAGGGATCATCTGTACTGTGTAAGATTTTTTATTTTTATTCATATTTCGTCAGGCTGGAGTCTATCCCAGGCACCACAGGACACAAAGCAGAGGTACACCCTGGTCAAGAAGATGATCCCTTGACAGGCACTTGCCACCCTGAACTTTTCTAAATATTATGAGGAGGGGGTATATGTGTAAAACCTATTTTCCGAATCAGTCATACCAGAGATTAAACAAACTTTACCCTGGTACCTCCCTATAGTACAAAGTCTGGGTAAAGTCTGATTGACCCCCATGTGTTAGTGGAGTAGGAAATTGTCTGGAGAATTCACCACAAGCGAGTGGGCGTGTTGGTAACGTTCTATGATAAGAATGGTGAAAAAAAGGCAGAATACAAACATCCGAGGGTACAGAAGAATGGTAATTTACACAAAGAAGACCCCAATTAGCATGGCTAGCTGGAGAGACCACGAGATTTGGGAACTTATGTCAGTTAGAGCTGACGTGCTGTAAACAAAACACTGTGATTTCTGCAGCATACTTTCTGCATCATATCCTGCTCCTGACATGGTCCCCTCAAGCACGACCCCTCACCTTAAGCAGCCAGAGAATTTCTAATACGTGTGAATGCATTTGACACAGACAGTATACGGCTGTGTGCCACATGTGTGAAAAGGCAACTCCTGAAAATGTCCGAAGTTCATTTGTGAAAACAGCTTATGGGTAACTGCATGCATTTTAAAACTGCATCAGAATCAGAATCAGAATCAGATATATTGGTCAAGTCTATTAACTCATAAAAGGAATTTGGTTCCAGCCGATGGTGTCTCTCAAGTTAGACAGAAAAAATGCAGACAATGAACATATATTTTACAGACAATACACAATATACAAGCCATATATAGATTTTATATGACACAAGTAATATATATAAAATGCCAACAATAACAACGGATACAGTGAAATCTGTTACTTCAGGTGGGCCTCAAACTGTATGTACCGCACATGTGTAACACTGTGTGTGTAGAGATCACTGTGTAAAGGTCACGGTGCTCAGAGCTGATACCGCAGTAAGCCTGCTTCTTAGTGCTGTTCTTAATCCTGCCCTCCAGTGGCGCTCCCATGATAGTGTTGAGTATACATTTTAGCTGCTGGTCATGGGACTGAGCACGCATGTGTCAAAGCAATCCCGAGATACCACATGTACTGTATAAATTCCCCTCAAAGAACCACAAGCTGGTCACTGTGTTCAGGTGACTTTCATTCTGTCTTTGAATTAATGGTGAGATGAGCTACATTCCTTATTTTATTAAAACTGCAATGTACTAAAATGCTACAGAACTGAAAAATCTATATTTCTAGCATTAAACTATGTTGTTATTGTATTTTTAATATTTCTACTCAGTTCATAATGTTATGAGATTATATGCATGCAAAGAACTGGTGTAATTATTGATAATTTTTATTATATTTGGTCAAAAGAAAAGACTTTGAGAA